TTTAAAATACTTTAAGACACAGGGAAAGTAGCGTCGGAAAAGACAGACCCACGTGTTCACTGCAAAGATACCGAAAAAAACGTATTTACTAGCAGGATTAATTTAAAAATATTAAGTTTATGCATTGAGTTTTTGTAGATGCATATTTTGCTTACAAATTTCAGACAGTTTCAAGAGCAATTGTGTAAATTTATTTAATGATAAGAGATACACTTTTCCGATAAGCATGGCGGTAAAATATTTAAATTATTCAACTTTCACGAAGATGACATATATTAGCATAAATACATTTGCGGATATTTTTGTTTCAGCCGAACGCGCCCTTGATACCATGAATTTTGACAATATAAAAGGGCGGCCTATTCGGATCATGTGGTCCCAGCGCGATCCCTCCCTACGCAAGTCTGGTGTCGGAAATGTATTTATTAAAAATCTGGATAAGAACATAGACAATAAGGCGATGTACGATACATTTTCCGCGTTCGGGAATATATTGAGCTGTAAGGTAACGCAAGACGAATCGGGCGCGTCGAAGGGTTACGGTTTTGTCCATTTCGAAACGGAGGAAGCAGCCAACAAATCTATTGAGAAGGTCAACGGGATGTTGCTAAATGGCAAGAAGGTAAAGTAACGCTCTTTATTCATCGATTAGAATAAAAATTGTCACTCAAGTGAGTTGTTCATAAAATACATGGACTTATCTACATGGACTGCGTCTTCTTATGGGAGCTAGCAAGACAAGACTGATAGTTATATTCCCTTTTTACTGTCCTCAGACCTGTTGTCCTTGTCGCACAGAAAGAAAAAAAAGAAGGCTTAGCCCTCACCACATTTCACGCAACTTTCTCCAATAAAAGTCTCAAGCAAAATAAATATAGATTGCCTGTGCATCTATTTTCTCTTTATCTGATCATGACGTGTAGCCTCTTGTAGAAGCGCTCAGTCTACGTATATAAGTCTTTGATCAAATTAATGTTCTTTTTTGTTTCTCAATATGGATTGCGCTTACAGGTGTACGTTGGCAAATTCATTCCGCGTAAGGAACGCCAGAAGGAATTAGGCGAAAAGGCCAAACTGTTCACGAATGTTTACGTGAAGAACTTCGGCGAGGATATGTCCGACGACAAGCTGAAAGATATGTTTGAGAAGTATGGGACAATTACGAGTCATAAAGTAATGATCAAGGACGACGGCAAGTCACGTGGGTTTGGATTTGTCGCATTTGAGGATCCCAATTCTGCCGAGCAAGCGGTGATGGAATTAAACGGCAAGGAGATTGCCGAGGGTAAGCTCATGTATGTTGGGCGGGCACAGAAGAAAGCCGAGCGCCAGCAAGAGCTTAAACGTAAATTCGAGCAGCTGAAGATCGAGCGTCTGAATCGTTATCAAGGCGTGAATTTATACGTGAAGAATCTGGACGACACGATCGACGATGAGCGCCTGCGAAAAGAATTTACTCCATTTGGCACGATCACGTCTGCAAAGGTGATGATGGAGGAAGGACGTAGCAAGGGATTCGGCTTCGTGTGCTTCTCACAGCCGGAGGAAGCTACTAAGGCAGTTACCGAGATGAACGGACGCATCGTCGGTTCCAAGCCTCTCTATGTCGCTTTGGCGCAGCGTAAGGAGGATCGTAAAGCACATCTCGCTTCTCAGTACATGCAGCGCATGGCAAATATGCGCATGCAGCAGATGGGTCAGATATTCCATCAGCCCGGTAATACCAGCAGTTACTTCGTACCTACCCTGCCGCAGCCGCAGCGATTCTATGGACCAGCGCAGATGGCGCAGATCCGCGCTACTCCACGCTGGCCGGCGCAACCGAATCAAGTGCGACCGAACGCGCAGACCGGCAACTCCGGATTCGCGTCGATGCAAGCTGCACCATTCCGAGCGGCACCGCGCGCTCCTGCTGCACAGGCTGGCGCCTTGCGTAACAACATGTCCGCCAGACCTATCACAGGTGATTATTAAAGAAATTAAAAATAGAATATATGCCTATGACATTAATTTACTTTTTATTTAAACCTTTGTATTATTTCTTTGACTATCTTGACAGAAATCGAAACATCAGATAATAATTGAGTTAGAATCTTGATACACTTGTAAACCCAACTAACGTATCAACATTTCTTATGTAAAGCCATGCATTATTATCGTTGGTACTCTTGATTTATCTTATCAGAGTTCGTTTTAAATATCTAACAGATTAGCCTATATAAAGTAGCACACATCTCAAACCGTTATTAAAAATTAAATTAAAAAGTCATAAATGTCTTAAAAGGTTTGAAAACAACTAGACAACAAGTTGTTGTCTTTTAGTGAATTATCTGAAATGGTTTTTATAGAAGATGTTCTTTAAAATTATTATTTGTTGATTAAACTTATTTTCTTATCTTACAAATAAATGAATATATACTTAATTATTGTTATAACAGTATAATTGCTATAACATTATTATACTAATTATAGTATTGTACAATAATAATCATAATTGGATTCAGTTATGAAAATAATTGTTACTTTACAATCTTTGCGTATCTCAGGTCTACAAGCAGTTGGCGGCGCCAATATGCAAAGCCGTTCCTTGACCGGACCAGCCGTTGGCGTCTCGCCCGGTCAAAGCCGTCCAACGAATTACAAGTACACGGCAAATATGCGCAACCCGCCGCAAGCAGCCATGGCTCCATTCGCGCCGAATCCTACTGCACAGCCTGCGGTTCACATTCAGGGCCAGGAACCGCTCACCGCGTCGATGTTAGCCGCGGCGCCGCCACAGGAGCAAAAGCAGATGCTTGGAGAACGCTTATTCCCTCTGATTCAACATATGCATCCGCAACTGACTGGCAAGATCACTGGTATGCTGTTGGAGATTGACAACAGCGAGCTGCTTCACATGCTGGAGCACAAGGAATCGCTGAAGGCTAAAGTCGAGGAAGCCGTGGCCGTATTGCAGGCCCATCAGGCCAAGCAAGCCGTTGCACCGAAAAAGGAATAAGCGTTATAACGATAATCTTTATTTTTAATAAGGAGAATTACATTTCGATAAATTTTTAATTTGATTCGATGTACATCGCCGTGTTGTCCACTAATTTCATCTTATTTCTCTAAATTTATGTAATTATAATCGTGTCAATGTATGTTTTCGTAACGGATTTACTTTCCAAGACGTAACCGACTCCGAGATATCACTTGAGAAAAAAACAGGAATGTATACACTTTTTATGACGTAAAATTTTAAGGGAGAAATCTCTTCGTATTTGGCGTATTAGATTACAGGGGAGTTGCGGACACGTTTTCTGAATGAGCGGTTACGTTCGTTTTGTGTTTGTTTACTGAAAGAACCGAAATTGTGAAAAGATTTCCAGTTCTAGAATTTTAAGATAATAAATTTTTCTTTCAAGATATATGTATATGACGGTTAACGTTCAGCAGATGTAACGATTAAACGACTCGCTTATGAAAATTTTAATCCAATAAATTTAGTATGTAACTGCAGGCAATTGTTGCTTAATAACATGTATAATTGTTACATTTGCTGGATACATTTTTTTATTCTTTCCTTCTCATATTTCCCTTTTTGAGATGAACGAAAATCGTCTTTGAATCAAGGAAAATGTTGTGTTTAAATTATTTACACTAGATCCCGTCGTAACGTGGACATAACGTGACTTGTGTTGTAATCATCTTTGTTCTAATTTGTCAGAAGATGGATAATGGTTACTTGGCGTGTTACATTTTGCAAACAAATCTGCGCCTGACGCATGAAAAGGAAATTGGATTGGAACGAAGTTAATAAAATTATGTAGCTAGAAATTAAACTGTAATCAATTATGCCCGTTGAGTTAGAGGTAATTCGAATGAATTACACTTAATCGTCGATTAAAATCGATACGTCCTTACGCGATTTTATGTGTGAAGGCCTTTACGAAACGATAGATTTCACTCAGTTTCTGCAGAACCAATCCGTCATTGGTCGCGTTCAGCAGACCAAGCCGCTCAGTAGCAATCGAACGTAATTGGCTCTTACTTTTAGAACCAACCAATCAACGCAGAGTGTTGACAAGACGAATTCAACAGTTGTATCTGCTGAACGCGCCCATTATATTCCGTTAGCAGATTTTATTGTATCCCTGTTGGCATTCTCTTCTTCTCCCTCTCTCCTCTCTCCTATTGACGAAATTTGCAGCAATTATTTTCAAAACCCGTTCTCGATAGATTTGCCTATTCAAGAAAAGTCGAACACGTGAACTTCGATTCCAAGATCGCATTTGTATACGCGCGCCATTGTGGCGCGATAATCGTTGTTTACATTCTCGACACACATTGCGCGATAATACGCAAATTGCGCAATGTCGTGCAATCAATGCGTGTAAAAGATTAAGAACAGAGCTGACGGTAATTGATGATAAACGCCTGAAGCTTAATAATTTAATCAGTAAAAAAATAATCGTAAACTTTTCAATGAACGGTTTTTTGTACGTATATATAACGTCTCCTTTCATAGATGGATTTTCGTTGCACTTTCTACTCTAGATAAGGACCGCGTTGTCCGTAGGTCTGTACGTTCTTTCTGCACTGCATTATAGGGTATATTCTACAGTTAAAATGAAACAGGTATATTAGTACAATTAGACATCAAAAAGAGAAAGAGAGAGAAAAGAGCCAAAAAGTTCGGAAATTTCAGCCACGAAGGACAAACCTAAGGGCGTCGAGATAAAAATAAGGAATCTGAAAAGTGCAGGAAAAGCGCATCTAGGAAAGAGCGAACAATCTAGACGCGTTCGACTGGAATGCGACTGACTTCAGGCGCATGAGGCGCATACGCGTGGTCGGAGTTTTTAACGCGCGATCAACCCGTTGATTTTGAGACAAAAGGGCTATATCAGTATTTGTTTTTCTTTTCATTGGATAAAAGTAACCGAAAGTATCTCTCTGAACAAAAAGAAATAAAAAAAAAGTGGCCGAATTGAACGATAGACGCGATAATTTTCGGAAATCGCGCGAAATTCGCGCGCCAGCCATCAGGCGGCTCTGGATTTCTCGAGATGGCGCTGACGGCGCTCGTGCGGTTCGTGCGGACTACTTCGCCGGAAATTGGCGCCGGTGGTTGCGCGGCCGGGGGTATATAAACGCGCGCAGGAAGCCGCGCGACGCTCTTCTGCCTCAGTAAGAGTAGAGTTGTGTTCACGTGTGGTTGTGTGCGTTTCCTCTTTCCCCGAAATAGGCCACACAACCTACGTCCATTCCGTGAAACTAACTCTCCTAGAAAAACCCAAAAAAAAGTAAAAAAATCTCCGTAAAAAAAAAACGTATACAAAAAAATCGCAAAACCGTAGGCGAAAAACCGTCGTAACCTCATATACCGTGGTAACAGCGTGGTGATAAAAAAAAAAAGAAAATAAAAAAGGAAGAAAGGAGTACAAGCCAGAGTGTGAGCCGTCGACGTCGTCAAAAGAAACCAAACCGAAGGACCCGTCTACCCAACAGGCACGCGAAAAACAAAATTCTCCCCAAACCGGCCAAGCACAAAGTAAAAAAAAGTAAAAAAAAAAAAAAGGAGAAAAAGCGTGCTAGCTAGAGGGTCCTTGGACGAGCCATATTGCGAGGTAGTGGAAAAAGAAGGGGGCAAAGCGAGAAGAGATTGTCGCGTAAGGAGGAAACGTCGTTTCTGCCTATTTCTGCCTCTGTCCCCCTCGGCGCAGTACACATCTCCCCGTGTGACTTCCCACCGCCGTCGCCATGAATCCTGGTGCGCCCAACTACCCCATGGCCTCGCTCTACGTGGGCGACCTGCACACCGACATCACCGAGGCGATGCTGTTCGAGAAGTTCTCGTCGGCCGGGCCCGTGCTGTCGATACGCGTATGCCGCGACATGATTACCCGCCGCTCGCTCGGCTATGCATATGTCAACTTCCAGCAACCGGCTGATGGTGAGTCATCATCATCATCGTCGCCGCTGCCGCTGCCGTCGTCGTCGTCCTCATAATCATCATCGTCATCATCATCTTAGCATAGCGCCTGTCCTCATGATGGTGATAGTGGTGATGATGGTGGTGGACAACGTGGTGACGCAACGTGGGTCCGCTCGAATGGCCGCCCGCTGCGTGCCACACACGTGCCTCGCCAACGTGCCCACCATATTGGATCCACGTCTCGGGCGTAATGGTAGTTAACGGTTAAACGGACTCGCCGCGGGAGGGGGAAGGATATTTCCTTTTTCTCCCTTTGTCGCGCATTACCTAAAGACCCGTGTCCATAACGGATTTAAATGTGATATTTTTTTTCTTTCTTCTACCTGACTTGGAGGTTGACCGAGTTGACCCGAGATCGAAAGGCGGATGTTATAAAAGCGAAAGACCGTCTCGGGGTTTATTTTTTTTCTATATTGTCCGAGCTCTGTTCTCCGTAGATCTGCCCCTTTCTATTTTGACCTTTTGTTCGTTGCGCAAATCTGATTCCTTTCTATGGAAACCCTTGGCGCCACGTGCGTGTTGTTCATGTTTTTATTTTTTATTTTTCATTCATGAAAATGGTTCTGTAAAGTGAGAAAGAAAAAAGTAAAAAAATGCTTGGTCACGCGAACGAATCTCACGTATCTCGAGATGAGTAACGTTGTCCGCGCGCGGATGTTCGCAGCATTCATTTTTACATGTAAAGCCACGTCGTAATTGTATTCATTCTCCCTTCAGAATTTGATAAATATGTATATGCAAATATAAAAGAGAAACTTTAGCTTACTTTATGTCAAAGTTACAACCATGAATTGTCGGAAACATCTGTTTCCTCGAATTTTTTTCAAAAGTATAAAGAACGTCGGTTTCTAGAAATATATTCTAATTTATAATATATCTTAATTAGTTTCAACTTCCATAAATATATCTTTGGAATAAATCAGAATAGATTCGTAGAAATCTGTAATTATATGTCCGAGAAGAATTGAAAAACTTTACACAGTTTTACACCTTTTTGCACAGTTCATCTTTTCTTCTTTTCTCTTCAACGTGAAATGAAAAAGATAAAAGATGAACCGTGCAAGAAGTTCAGCTAAAACGATCAGTCGTTATATGTTTCTCACTTGCTCCCATGAAAGAAGTGGAAGAGAATCTTAGTTATTTTTTCTACCTGACATCAGGAGGGTGATTGTGTATCTTGGAACGAAGTGAAAATTCACTAGAGTATCTACGATTTTATTTGTCGTAAATTGGACCTTAATTTTCACCTCATTTCAAGATATACGCTCGATCTTCTGAGGTTGCGAGTCTTTTCAAGAACATCTGAAGGAATTATAAGATTCATGAAAATTTACATTCGTTATATTTTTCAATACGATTCAAAGAAATAGATATTTCTGGTGAAAGAAAGAAGGAAAAGCGAGATGGAACTTTCATTTTTTGCACTACTTGATTTGGAGTTTTACCTGCGGCTAAAATCCCAGCGTTACGAGGAACAAACGTGAAAGTCTTTTCAGATATTTTTTTTTATTGTTTGTGTCTTGTACTCGTCCATTCTTTAATTACATTTTCCGCATTTAAAACGAGACAACTGTAAATGAATTATAGTTCTTTATTATCGATTAAACAAATATTTATTTTTCTAATCGATAATTAAGAAAAATATCTAGGGACAAAATCGTGGAATATGTTTAACGTAGTAATTTAATTTTAATTTTGGACCTACTGAAAAAAAAAGAAAGAACGAAGATATATAAATTATAATTGAAAGGAACGAATCTACATATTCCTCGTTAATTTAATAAATATATTGCGAGATGTTGTGCAAGCAGGAAAGTGTGAGATATATTCATTTCACATTTACTTTCTAAATTTTACCTTTTTCTTCACATTTCCTTCAACATCTATGTCAATAAATGTATTTCGTTTTAAAAGCAGAATAATTGCAATAAAATATAGCTACAGGGACCGATCTAAGAGCAAAAAATGAGCATGAAGTTTCCTTTTCTCTCATGGAAAGTGAGTGATTTTCACTTTTTTGTTAATTTAATCTTGAACTTCAGAAAAGAAACTTCGCTTGCGTTCGTTTATTCACATTGGGGGCTATTGGGAAAATAAAATCTATAATACGTGTTATATATTATATTTTCCCAATAGCTCCCAATGGGAGTAAACAAACGCAGGCTGTCTTTTTTGCAAAATTTATCCGTGCTTTGCATAAATTTGTTTACAATAGAATATATTGTTTATCAAAACATTTTGCAACATTGTATCTCAAAAAACATATAGTGGCCCTTGTAAATTATTTTTTTCGTGAACATGATTATTTTGACTGTTCGAAATTAAAATATCTTTCTTTTCTATCGACTCAATGTGGGGTTCTAGATGTTTTTCTTATCAATTCATAGAATGTCTTATCAGACTTTTATCACACACATTTTTTTTTTTTTTTTTTCC